TTCTCTATTTCTTTCTTAGGAAAGGCCTAGGTATCCTCTCGCATTAACTTATCTTCTTTTTTCACTCATATTTCAAAATACTCCCAATCTTTCATATGATGTTCAAAAATTTCAGCATCAATGTCAAGAACGTACGTCAGCCAACAACGTCCATTAACGCTTTTAATTTGTTTACTGGGATAAACTCTTAAAAAGGACCCCCCAAAAGGCGGCTACACCCTTAATTTACGTCCATGGAAGTTCTATTTTTCTTAAATTTTCTTATGCCACTAGAAAACCAGTAACTAAATGCATTTTTCCCAAACCTATGTCAATGATATACGAGATTTAGTCGGAGTGATCCCGGGATCTTTACAAAACTTATGACTTAACCAAAATCTGACGTTGTCTAACAGCTTAAAGATGATCAATATATCATTAACTAATACACTAAATATCCAGTAAAATCAGTTAAACTCTCACACAAAGCTTTATAAAAGATAAAAAAATCGTAATTATGACATAATTTTTGTTTTATATACCACATATTGTGGTTTAATTCTCATTTCCGCATTAAGATTTAAAATGATAATAAACGCGTTAATGTCTCCCCCGCATTTCCAAACAACCGTTTCTATGGCAACTGCCATAGCGTTACTATCATAAATATTTAAAATGGTGTTTTTTTAATTTAAAATATTCAACAAGTGTCATCATTAATTTTAAATTTCAACCAATTCCTCTTAAAAATCAATAAAATATTAAGAAATCCCACAAACTTTTGGATCAACCCTCGTATTTGAGCGACATTTCTAAATAAAAAATCAATCAAACAAAATCATTCATATCACCATTATCAAAACTCACAGTACTTTCATTTATAACGTAATGACATAGAACAAAAATGAAAAACCTATATAAAATGAAGCAGAGAAAAAGTCCCTATTAATGCGTTCAAGCTTTATATTGAGACGGAAATTCATAAAACAGGACATAGATTATTAAATCATGTAAAGATCACTTCAACATCCACTTATCACAAAAGACAACTTATACAATTCTCTTACATTCTACGCAATTTAAAACTATTACTTATTTAAGCAGAAACAATATCTGCACTTAAACTCAAAAACAGGCAAAATCAATACCACAGTAAGCCCTTATACGAGAGTCATTTTTATTACATCCATCGTATCAATTTAAATTTTATGCATGACACACAACAAATATATTAGATGTTACTGCTACTAAGCATAACACAAACCTCTAATTCATTATTGGTAACAACATGTTATATATGCTATCCATTACTCTTGGTATTCAAAGTAACACACGCTTCCTATTATTTTCCTAAACATTTTCCTAGCTGAGAATAAATAACATTATACATTTATTAACTGAGTTCGAGGATGACATGCATTTTGTCAGACCCAAGAACCAAACTGTCCGCCTGAGGCCGTTTCGCCGAAGGCAGACAGTTTGGTTCGAGTGTCGACAAAACGCATTTTCCCCTATAACTCAATAAATAAATGCTTTGTAATACATTTCATTTTTTGACACTGTCTTTCATGATGTAATATCAGATCCGTCACTTTTGACACCAATTAATAAAAATGGGGTAAGCCCCGCCCATTTTGTGGCATAAGCGGTCCAACATCTCATCAACCAGTCTTACATCTCACTCAGCAATCAAACATCGATTTTTATGCCCACTTAGGAAAACGATAGAAATGTTAGACTCCTTTTCGTATAGATTTGTATGAGAACAAATTTTCAAAGGTATAACATTCGTAAAGAAACTCACTTTTATTTGTAGGAAACGCATACTGACACAAACTCTACGTAAATGTTTATTATTTCACCTCGTAAATCTAATGTTTGAATATACAACTGTAACAAAACTTTCGCAGTTCCTGTCTAAATTTGAACTAAAAAGTCCAGGAAATATATGGATTAGCAATATGATTCAGAAAGTTAAAACGGAAACAAAAATATAAGATATTCAATTTATATCCTGTAAGAAACAGAACACTGCTATCTGCAAAGCTGTATATGTGTGTACCCAGTGACGTCAGATAGGAAATGACGTAAACAATAATGTTGACGAGGAACATGAAGGTGATTCTCTGTCTTGCTTTTAATTTCTGGTTTATGTCCACTGTTGAATTGCAATTATCAGTGTTATTTTGTCTCACATCTGTTTCTGGGGGGCTCTTCCATTGCAATATTTTCAACATCAGAAATTCGTCTTTCTGCGACATGAATAATGACAACGCAATTTCGATCATTGCAAGCTTTTGGTCTTTTTGGCGACAGTGTTCTGTACAATGCTCTAACTACAGGGATATAGAGAGCAGTAGTAACAAAAATGTTAAGCATGATTAAAAAGAGTAAACTTCCTAAGTACGAAATCATCACATCATCTCCAATGGAAGTACAACTAACGACGGGTTGAGAAAAATTAAACTTTATCAAAAAAATTTCTCGTCCAATTAATTTCAATGATGGGATCGAGTACCCAAGTGAAAACAGAAATATAATTAAAACAGAGATTCGGCACAATTTCTTGGTCATTCGCTTGCCAAATGGACGACAGATGAATAAGTACCTTTGTAATGCTATCGAAAGAATTAAATGAGCGGATAAACCTGCACTTAAGAGTATAAATAAATACAATGTTTTACATAGATTGACCCCGGGGTAATGATATAACGTAGTATTCTGCAGGTGAAAATGGATTGCATTTGAAACACATCCAACGAGATCCACAAAAGCCAGAATTGGAATGAAATATCTCGAACGACTTTTGTCTTTTATATATTTACCGTAAAACAAAAGAACTACAGAGTTCCCGAGAACTCCAAGGAGAGCTGCAATCATTTGTACTAGTGTGTTCGGAAGTCACTTCTTAGCATGCTGATCAGAGGAAATCTCTAAATCCTCTAAATAACCAGCCAACGTCAAATTGGCAAATAAAGGAGACGTCTCGTTGTTCATATTTACTCTTTCTTTTTCACTTGATATTGTAGCAGAAAAAATGACTGGTGAAACCAGAAACTTGAAAAAGGAAACAAGTGATGATATTTAATATTAATGTCTGAATTTAATGCTTTTAAACATTTTCGTTGACTTTTCTATGAATATAAAATGTCTTCAAAAAAAAAGAGGTAAATAGTTTGGATTTTTTTCCGAGGAAATTTCAATATCAAAGAACCATATCATTTTGTACGGTTTATTATCTATTTTATGAAGAAGATCTATTACCATTTACAGAATATTCCTTTTGCCATTGAACCAATTTAAACCCAGATGCTGGACAAATATTATATTGTAAAGATACAGAGTTTGCAAACATTCAGAGTTTTGTACATATATTAATATCTTCAAGTAAAGTAAAGTAATAGAGGCATATTCTTCTGGCTATTAGTTTAGAAATAAATAAATAATAATAACTTTAACATTTCTTGTTTTGTCAATTTCATATAAATAGTAGTATATAAATATAATCATTATTTGAATTCTGAATGCTCTAATTTTCCATTCGAATTTAAATCTTTATTTTTCTTTTAATTGGCATTTAAATTCAAATGTTCTTATTCAACCTGATGATACAACGTCTTCAAACCAAAATGCCTGAAATATAAGATTTCAATAGTCTTACAACATTATTGAGGCATTGTATTTAATTTGTATTTTATTACAGGAATGATTTAGAAGTAGAAAAAATATGTTATAACAAACACTGCTTTTATATTTATTGTGTGAAATACCTGTGATTTGTCCTTTCAAAAGTTTCTTTTGCTTTGACCTTGATCGTAGGGTTTGATATACTTTTGAATATTCTAACCTTGGCCATAGCGTTTATATCCAGAAAAACAGGATTTTAAAACTTTTTACATGTACATTAAATATTTATTTTGTCTGTTTGTTCTTTAACGTCCCTCTCAATAATTTTTCACTCATATTGATACGCAACCACTTATTGGTGGAAAGTTGCAAATTTTGACCTATACTCAACACTCAGGGCCATTGAGCAGTAAGGCATCTTTTTCATGCCAAAACCTACTGCGACACGGGACCTCGGTTTATACGGTCTCATCCGTGGGACCGGTCACCATGTCCCGCAGTAAGATTCGAACCCACGACGTAAGATTCGACTCCTTACTCCAAAAAAGTAGGCTCTCGATATTTTTTTATTTTTTCGTTTTAAACGAAATATCCATGGCATCAAATGTACGTATTTTCATTTCATGAAGTTTTTTTTTTTTTTTTCATGTACATTATTTTGTTAACACAGATAATACTGTATATTTTAGCATAATTCATACTGTCTACTTATAACAAGTTTTAACCTTCCTATGTCCTTGTTGTAGACAAAAAAGGAAATGATAATGGTATTTCAATGGAGCAAGCAGAAGTGGGTAATAAGTTTTGGTCATATTTTTGAAGGTTGTATCAAAATCCTTGTTGGTCTATGAATTTGCAAACATGGTAACTCTTTCATTTTTTCTTAAAGACAAAGAAATGAAGCTATATTTTAGAGTTGGGCAAAGAAAAATTATTTGTGCTTATAATTTCTCCATAGAAGTAGATTTTTCAGGTTCTGAAACATGTAATTTTCTGAACCCTAATATTGTTAAGAATTAAATAAACTTTGCATGTGTCTTCTTGTTCCTTTTGTCAATTTTCCATTTCCGTCACGGTGTCTCTTTAACATTCCGAAGAATTAAGACATTTTTTGTAGAATACCTGCTCCATGTTCCATGTCAAATGTTATTGAATAATTTTACCGTCGTATATAAAAGAAGACGTACCTCAATATTTATCATACTTAAGAAGTCCCTGTCATAGCTAACAGAAACGATTCTGCAGGTAAGTATTAAAGGCAGGCGTAACTTAAAAAATGATACTAATTTCACGTAATGGATAAACCTAAATAGAAAACTCTTTTTCTGGAAATTATTATTGTGATGTTTTTGTTTTAAATAAATTGAAAATGTTAAATTTGTATAAGTACATTAGGCATGGAGGCGAAGACTATTGTAGCCATAGTCCTTGGCGTGATGTTTGTGATGGTACTAATTGGATTCCTTACTGTTTTAGCCTTGTATCTGAAAGGTAAATTTTAATGAATTATATGTACTTAAAAAAACAAATGTTATTTTTTCCAAAATTGTTTGTAGTGGGTAATAATTTTGATTTTTAGTACATCTTCATTTCATTTCCCTAGATAAAGATGAACACTCAGAAAATGTTGCAAAAGCTAGGCTAGATGGTTATAACCAAGGTAAGAATATTTTTATTTAGGATTCATACATTTTTTTTTTATTTTAAGAGAGCATAATATTGGAATTAGATTACTTTAAGTTAATCATATTGCGAAGTTTTTATGGTTAATAATGAAAATAATTGTTACAAAAAGGATGATTAGAAAGAGAAAATTGAAATCTCGTAAACCATAATTCGCTGTTTGTGGTGTGGGGGGGGGGATGGTACAATTAACTTATTCTTTATTTTCCTGCTTGTTATATTTCTTTATATCTATCCTAAACGTTTGTGCATTTCATATGTTTTTTTACCTTAATAATTTTAAATAAATGAAAAAAAATTTTTAGGTCAGAAGAGAACTGTGCAACTATTTTGCAGAGGGAACACAATATGTGAGAAGTGTTTTGAACAAAAATCTCCTGAAGCTTGTAATAACAATGGTGATTGTGAGTGGCATTCGGCTTCTGGTCCAGCGTTGAGTTATTGTATCGTGGACTAGACTCAATGAGTGCCAGTCTAATTGAAATTACATAAAACAGATGTCGAAACCACAATATCAATTAAATATATACATATGAGTGAAAATGTGTTATTGTTTTTTTTTTTCATGTAAAAAGGAATTATTTTGATACAGTTTTTAGGTCAAGTGCTAGAGGTGTTGAACTATTTAATACGCCACTTCATCAATTTGCTTTATCTCAGATCTGAAACAGTGTCTACGATTTCTTAGCTTAATAATAATAAAAAAATAACATATCTTAAAATTTGGGAAGCGACATTAAGCTTATCTTTTAAAACTGTATGAAACCAATAACAGAAATTACGATATAAAACAAATATCGAAGCCACACGGTATACGAATATCACAGAATTCACATAATGCTTATTAGTCTCTATTCTAGAATTGTAATTAAGGTCTTCCGTCTTCACGGAAGACCTTATAGTGATTCTACTGTTTCTTATTATTATTATTTTTCCGTACATCTAATTTTGTGCACGCGAATTCTCGAAGACTAGTGGATGGATTTTCATGAAATTTGCAGGAACAATGTGTTGTTATCTGAAGTTATTTTATCCGGGAGATTTTTTGGAAATTTTTGTCTGGTGCCAAGTTACGGACAATTTTCTGATTTTAAAATGACATTTTGTCCGCGGTTAATCTCAAGAACGGTGAAAGATATCACTGTGAAATTTTCAGAGATTATAGATCGTGAAAAGTACTATCCAGGACGCAATCCTTTGTACGTCGTCTCTACTTCCTGTTGTTACTGCAGGCGAATTTAAAAAGTCGAATTTTTCAACTTTTTTGTTTTTCAATATTTTTAAATTATATTAAAATGGTGAATAGAAACCTTTTTAATTAGGCTGAATATATAATTTGTTTTTAAATTGATAAATCCAAACTCGAGATATTAACAATCAAAAATTTGAAGCGGGACCAAAATGGCGGTGGTCTCTGTCAACTCCGACATTTCGCAATAGGGGTTTACAGAGGCAGCCGAGCGTTTGCTTGAACGAAAGTAACATAAGGAGCAATGAAATATGAAGGAATACTTGGATTGTCACGACATAGGTACGTTGCAATTCTGTGTCAACCTACATTTATAATTCAAGGCCTCCTTACACGTCTTCTTTAATTGGTTTTAGTTGTTTCTCAAAGTACCGGTAGAAATAGAAAAGAATTAATGTGCAAATAAGTACAATACCTACTATCTTTTGTTTTGCATCACGGAAACACATAGCTTAAATCGTACATGTAGTTATAAGTAATAGTTTCTCAAGATACAATATTTTTAGTAAGTATAAAACGTGACCACTGTTTTCCCATGCACACTTGTGTCATATTAAATTAATAGAAAAGACAACTGTTACAATAAGAATTTAAAAAAAAAAAGACAATTATTTTTAAAAGACCGTTTAATTGACTTCACATAAACATTTATTTTTTCTCAATGCAAGTTATTGAACATAATTGAAACTTATTCCTTAACCCTCGTAGGGCGATCGAGGCATTTTTTTCGGCGAAACACACCACCGTTTTGATGAAAGTGTAGGTAATCGGAATAATCCACTTTTGTGATTAACAGGAAAATTATAATAAAAAAAATTAACCGTCTCACCTATTTAATACAACATTCCAAGGAAAAGGCACTAAGATTTACTCGTGGCGTTTGGCGCGAAATTATGAATAGTGACCCTCCATTCATAATTCCAAGACAGATTAACTGTTGCAGAATTACATGTACATACAAGAGAATTTAGAGAAGTTGTTCAAATAGCGAAATCGATAAGCGTATCGGATTTTCACGCTAGTGACCCATTTCAATTACCAGTGTGTCCAAAAAAAAATGTTTAATAGATTTTCAGCTCGATTTTAGGGCTATTTTTTGGAATCAGACGGACGACCTCTCGTTGCTCGCAACGAGATCGTTTCTAGTGTTAAAATATTGTTTTATCTCACTGAATAATGACCCATGTCATTTTCCAGCATAAAAAAATAGTATGCAGCCCAGTTGAAGAAATAGTTTGAAGGGAAAAACACAAATAATCAGTTTTTCTATATTTTTAGCTATAAGAAAATGATCACCGCTGGCGCTGACAAAAGATATCTCTCTAACAGAATAAACTTAATACATGTACACGGTTTGAACCAAGATTTGCAACCAGTTGTCATGGCATTGGTTTCACGATGTCGAGATAGGACAACCCCCAACCAGTTATTATTACATATTTCATCTATAGAAAATCGACCTCTAGGTAAACTTTTTCCTATCTAGAAAAAAAGGACGTCATCTTTGAAATTTGCATACTATTTAAAGAAAAGAAGACCCGCTTAGATTAGAGGACAATTATTCGATTCATAAGGGATAGGGACTAACAAATACGCCGAATCAGAATACTGTTTTCTTGCTCAACATTACAGTATATTTATTTCTAAGATAAAATTTAATTATTTTCTGCACATAAACAATAGCATGCACTATGTATTAATCCACTTGATTCGTACAGACTCTGTATGAAGTCATTTTCAGAGACTTAAACGGGAAACAACCCAACGTCGCCTTTGTGACGTGAGAAAAGAAAAGAAAGATTAAAAAAAACTGTACATTCATGTTAACTCCATTTCGCTTGGGGGCAACTGTACAGACCAAAGTATATATTTTCTTGTCAATGGAGGAGTGATTTTATATTTTCAAAATTTTTAAGTTGAGAGAACAGTAAAACTCGGTTGAAGAAAGGAATCACTGGAGCTTTAATCCCCTTCCTCGCAATCACGTATTTTCACGCACTTTAAAAAGTTCATTTAATCTTAAATTCATTGCAAATTTCCTTCTGTTTTATCCTTCCGAAAATCTCATAAAATAAGAAAAGTTATTTTTGCATTAAAAATAAAAACGCCGCAATATTATTTACGCTAAATTTAAAGAAACGTGTACAGCGCTAAATGGTGCTTGCGTGAAAATGGTAAATTTATATTTCAATTGCGTGAACATTACGTGCATGTTGCATAACATTTCAGTAAGTTGTAAAGAATTTTATTTCTCTTTGCAAGTTTCTTTTTATCCATATACGGAGTGGTCGTACTGTGAATTTTAAATACATCAATTGTATATGACGCTTTTCAGGATCTCCTTTATAGCTATAGTCACCAGCGTGGCGCAGTGGTTAAAGCGTCTGCTCTATAGTCGTGAAGTAAGGAATTGATCTTTATATCGCGGGCTCCAATCCCACCTTGGGACGTGGACACAAGACAGGTCCATCGGATGAAACCGAATAAACCGAGGTCTCATGTCGCAGAAGGTACTGATATGAAGAAGATGCCTCACTGCTCAATGGCCGTAAGTGCCGAATAAAGGACAAAATTTGCAGCTCTCCACTGGAAAGTAGTGGCGTCTCCATATGAGAGGGGCATTGAACAAAGACAATTAATCAATTTTAAGCTATAAAACGTTTTGACTTGCACCGTAATTGTGAGAGTTTTAATTAATTTTACGGGATGAATTTTTCCGTCTATTACTGTCTCTGGGTCAACTGTGAGCTTTCCTCGAATTTTGAACCCATATTCTTTAAAACCTCAAAATCACCAACACAAGTTACAATTTTGTACTTTTATATAGAATCAGCAAGGAATATACATTTACATGAGCCTGGGCACTTTCAGCACCGAAGGTCTGATTCCAAATGACTATAATTTTTCACAACAAATCATACATACTGAACAAAGAAATATTAAAATAAAAGGTTTAACAAAAGGTATTTAGAAATCAAGTATTAATCAATTATTGAGCGAATGGTGACATTTTAGCAGTGTGTATATTACGATGTAAAATGCAACATTTTGGGACTTGTTTTAAATTACTGTGTGAATTAACTTTTTGGTTTTTGTGTAAATTGTTGTCAAAACTTTTCTTATATTTCGGCAAATGTGATAAATTATATAAATTCCGCACAACCTTAATTAAACCTAAGGCAAAGTCCAGATAGATAATTAATCCCTTAATTGACTTCTGACACTTAAACTTTTAGTTCTATTATATGCATGCCGCTAAAATGTCACCATTCGCTCAATAATTGTTTGATACTTGATTTTTATATACTTTTCATTAATCCTTTTATTTTACTCTGTCTTTGTTCAGTATGCATGATTTGTTGTTATAAATTATAGTCAGTTACGAGAATAAAACACATGAATTGTAAATATTTTTTAAACTTGTGGTTAAAATCTTTTTTAAAACCAGTCACAACTAGGAAGAATATGTTTGTTAATCACATTTATCAAAGAAATTGAAACGAAACAGCCCGATTTTAGAAAATTTAATTTAAAAATGACATATAGTTTTTTTTTTTATTTTGGCCAATCCCGATCAAAATTAAACCGATCCCAACCATAATTGAACAATTATTGGAAATAAATAACATTCTCCCAAATACAATAGTCTGATTAGGTGTAATAAGTTTTAAAACATATTGAACTTGACAATCAAAAAGATTTCTTCATTGTAAATACATGAAAGAGGCAATAAATTAATATTTTATTCATTTTGTATTAATTTTGATCGGGATCAGTTTAATTTTTATCGGGTTAGGTCCAAATATAAAAAAAAAAAATCAAAATCGGGCGAGTGATCTTGTAAACTACACATCCGACTAGGGTGAAATATTTTTATGGTCAGAAGGAATGCTATGTAGATTTGCCGAACGAAGGTCATTTGCGCGCACGTGCTTGCAAAAGCGCGCACGTACAACACGTGAAATGACCAATATGATAAATATAGCCGTAACTTTTCTATTGTTGGATTATATGCATTGAAACTCATAATATAAGTATATATTAGCAGTACAGACGTGATGAGATGGTCAACATAGCAAGATCTCACGTGCATGCACGTGCGCTTTGCTCTGATTGGCTGAAACTTAAGTCTCAATATCTTTCTTGTTTTTCTTTTGAATTTTTTAACATTGTCATACATTATGAAGATCTACAGCACGATATATAAGATTTATCATGAAAGCATGCGCATGCACATGTGCTACAATCTGATTGG